GCAAGTAGCAAGACAGCCATGGACTATTGCCATCATCCAGAGACACATTTATGGCAACCCCATAGAGTCCATGTTGCATGAGGTAAGCCCTCAGTGCACTCCTGCTGGGTAGGTGAATGGGTTGGATGAATGAGAAGAGCCTTGAAGAAATCCAAAAGGAAAAATGAACATGTAAAAAGATTTCATCAAATGGGGGAAACTTTGAGTGTTGGAGAGAATTCTAGATGGTAAAGTGTTATGAGTGAAGACCCAAGTGTAGCTTCTTCTGGGGAGCTTTGACCTGACCTGGGCAGAGATACGTGTTTGAGATGATGGCGGATATGTTCATATGTGTTGGTAGAATAGGCCCAAATGTGTCATGTCTTGAAGGTTATCTCAAGGAATTTGGATTCCAGTTGTAATTAGCATGAATGTGGTGCCCAGCCTGAGACCTTTTCTTCTGAAATTTAGTCAACACAATCTGGACCAACAGAAAATTTAAAACCACAAGTAGTTTTCAGTTACTCAAACTGTAGAAATTCAAAAGATACAGTCTTTTTTTTTTTTTTTTTTTTTTTTGAGAAATCATCCGAATGAGTCAACATTTCAAAAATGTAAAATAAAGCTTGCTTTATAAAATGAAGATGTTATTAACTCCAAGAGGCTAAGCTCCTCAGTAAGATAATGAGACATGTTGTTTATGGTGCAGAAAGAATTGCTTCCTTGCAGATAGGTTTCCCTTAGAAAAGTGTTTTCTTATGGCCGCGGGTAGATGCACGTGTTCTATTTGGACAGTTGTGTTCTTGTTCAGGCAGATACCCACAGGAAGCCAGGAGGGGAGACGGTGGCAATGGTGAGCGGCTGGATCGTGGCTTCACTTTACCAAGGGGACTGGTTTGGGTTCTGCAGGATTCAACCTGGACTAAACTGCTGTATCCTGTGATATTGTTGAAGACAGATTAGCCTAGAAAATACCATCATGTTGTGATGTAAGTGAGGGTGTGGCAGAGAGACAGGTAAAACCCCCGTAGATGAAGAGTGGTGTTTCTTTTAGAAGGAGTGAACATCCCCACTGTCAGTCACCCTGGTAAGAAGCAGATCCTGGGACAGAAAAAATGAAGAATGAGACCTTAGACTAGAGAGGAGGAGAAACTCCTTTCTGTGGGCCCCCCGTGAGGGGCCTGGTCATGCTTTGCATACTCCAGTGGTGGGCGGGAGTGAGCAGATCAGTACGGAGACAACTGTAAGGTGGCGGATTGGCCTGTAGGTTCAGAGAAGCCATGTCTTACCGTATAGCTCATAGTTCTCTGCCTGTGCTTCCCCACACCTGGAGTCAATTTTAATCCACTTGTAGCCTAAGCGAGATGGTAGGAAAAGAAGAACAGGCCTGGGGTATGTTTGGGTCCTGCTGGTGAAGGGCAGAGCTGAGCCCCTTCCTGATGCCAGAGTGGTAAAATCGTCATGCAACACCACCATGCGCCTTGGAGCAGCCAGCCCTCAGGGCAGTGGTGACAGAGCCTTGAAGTGTCATTATCAGACATGAGACCCCATCCTAGGGGACATTCTGAAATAACTGAGATAAAATATACAGCAGCAGGTGGTGGCCAAAGTCACAGTTTAGCAATTTAATGAAAATTGTTGGAGTTTAAGCAGGTCATGATGAGGCATTCCTCTGTCCCCCTTCTCTCAACTTGGAACCTTTAGAGATTTAGACACAGGAGTGTAAAGGTGGAAATTACTAGTAGCACTGGCTTGGATATTGTCATATAAAGTGGTAAATGACCAAACGGCAGACACACTAGTTCTTCTGGGCCAATGTTCCTTGGGAAAGACACAAAGACAGGAATAGTAGCAGGTGTGTGTGTCCACAATGCCTACTGCCTTCTGGGGCAGAACAAAGTGATCTGTGGGGCCAGACATCAGATTCCAGGAAAGGGACTCTGCCCCTTGGGCTGTGGAGCTTTAAAGCTACATTAGTAAAGAAACACCAAGCCTTGTTCTGGAGGAGTAGTCAGATACAAGTCAAGCTTCTGGCATGGCAGAATGTTGGCCCTAGCCTTATCTTGCCAGTGCAGGGCTTGTGGCTGAGGGATCTCGAGCCCCTCCCCTTGCATAACCAGGAAGCTAGGTCCAAGCCTAGCCATTGCAGCTGCACACCCTGGCAACTCAGCAACAAGACTCCTCCCCTAGCATTTATGATTGGGGAAGCATCATCACCTTTCTCCAGGCCAGCTCAGGGGCTGGGGCCAAGCCTCAGGATTGCCCAGGATTGGTTGCCTTCAACCTAGGGTTATAACTCATTTCCATGGAGCTTTGCATTCAACTCCTTTTCTACAAGGCTGATGAGTGACAATCAGTCTTGGACAAACAAGGGCATAATTTTTGGAGCCACACCCAAACTCACTTCCTACTTCTTCCCCCCCAGAATGGTCCTCACTTTTTCAGAGCTGCTGATCTTCTCATGCAGGGACACAGGAAGTATGTGTCCCGAGGCAGGTTGCTGTAAAAGAGAAAGCCCAGAAAAGGCTGAACTTCAGTCCTCCTAAATCACCAATCAGCTTATTTATTCACCTATCCTTGGAGAGGGGAGAAAAGGATCTATGAACCACTGGAAATGTTCCACTGTTACTTTTCCCTCCTGGGGAGGGAAGCACAAGTTTCTTGTCCTCTATAGAAATGAGCAAAAATTTTATTTTGGGATCTAAAATAAACTAGATCTAAAAGTTCTAGAGATAGATGGATGGTGGTGATGACCCCAAAACAACGTGAATGTACATAAAGGCACTGAATTGTACACTTAAACATGGTTAAAAGAGTATGTTTCTTGTTATGTATATTCCACTAAAATCAATCAGTAAATGTAAAAAATGAACTGGATAGAATCATGGTTTTGATTTTGTTTTTGCTTTGTTTTGAATAATTAATATATTCATGTGGTCTGAAATTTAAAAAACACAAATGGCCCCTCCGTAGTTATTATCCCTAGCTAATCCATTTTCTTCTCCAAAGGCAAACAATCCTACCAGCATTTTGGTATTATTCCACAGATATTTTATGCATTCACAAGCAACAACATTGTTTTAACATTTTTTAATACAAATGGTTTCATATTTTACACATTTTCCTGCAATTTGCTTTATAACATAATGAAATTTCTTGGGGAATGTTCCATATCAGGACATCAGAGTTCCAGCACGCACAGCTACATGTTTTGCCAGAGCACACATTTCCACAGTTGATTTAACCAGTCTCCCTTGCCGTGCAAATCTAGGTGTTTTGACTCTTTTGCTATTCCAAACAGTGACTAGCCTCTTGTATATGTCATTTCTCACATCTATCTGCTCATAGGATAAATTCCCAGATGTGGAATTGTCTAACCATGGTTTTAATAGTTTTCAACATAGGCCAACTTGACCTTAACAGTGTTGAGTAGACATTTGAAATGCAGTACTAACTGCCCAAATGAGTGGAAGAGCCTGGATTAAAATCCAGGTCAACAACCTAATCCCGTGCTCTTTCTGCTAATCAATATTGTCCTTTTTCTCTGTTTCTTAAAGATAAATGAACTATTATTGAACCTACCGGGCCCAGGGGAGGTCTCAGTTTATGGTCAGCCAATGACTGTCTCACTATTTGGAACTTGTCATGATGGTCCACAGATGTTGAAGATAAAGAAAATGATCTCTCAGGCATAAAAATTATCTTTAAACATGGGAGGTCCAGGAAGGCTGATGTCTTCCAGGCTTGCCTACAGCCTTCCACAGCTCACACACCAAGATAGAAACAGAGAAGTCTGAGCTTGGAGAATAGTGGATATTGCTACTCAGGGAAGAAACAGAGGTGAATGGATTTTGTGCAACAAGGAAGAATTTTTCACATTATGTATACCAAAATGCTCTGAACTATAGTCATGTAATGCATAATGACAGCGTAGTTCAAGGCATTACTCATGTGCTTGTGGTGACTCAAGTGTAAACAAACCTACTGTATTGCCACTTGTATAAAAGTACAGCACATGTAATTATGTATAGTACATAGTACTGGATAATGATAGTACATGACTATGTTACTGATTTGATATTTACTATACATTTATTGTTATTTTAGAGTGTACTCCTTCTAGAAAACAAAAAGTTCACTGTAAAACAGCCTCAGGCAGGTCCTTCAGGAGGTATTCCAGAAGAAGGCATTGTGTCATCATGGGAGGTGACAGTTCTGTGCATGTTGTTGCCCCTGAAGACCTTCCAATGGGACAAGATGTAGAGGTGGAAGTCAGTGATAGTGCCATCCTGACCCAGTGTAGGCCTAAGCTAATGTGTTCATCTGTGTCTTAGTTTTTAACAAAACGAAGTTTAAAAAGTAAAAAGCAATTTAAAAATTTAAAAACGGAAAAAAGCTTATAGAATAAAGATATAAAGAAAGAACATTTTTGTGCAGCTTTATAATTTGTCTTAAGTATAATTACAAAAGGTTTAAAAACTTAAAAAACCAATTAAAAAGTTACAGTAAGCTAAGATTAATTTATTATTGAAGAAATTTTTAAAAATAAATTTACTGTAGCCCAAGTATACAGTGTTTATAAAGTCTACAGTAGTGTACAGTAATATCTTAGGCCTTCACATTCACTCATCACTCACTCACTGACTCACCCAGAGCAACTTCCAGTCCTGCAAGCTCTATGCATGGTAAGTGCCCTATACAGTGTACCATTTTTTATCTTTTATACAGTATTTTTATGGTATATTTTCTATGTTTAGAGACACAAATACCACTGCGTTACAGTTGCCTACAGTATTCAGTATGGTAGCATGCTCTACAGGTTTGTAGCCTAGGAGCAGTAGGCTATACCACATAGCCCAGATGTGCATAAGTGCACTTTACAAAGGTCTTGCGTAAGTACACCCCATGATGCTCACACAATGACAAAATCACCTATGATGCATTTCTCAGAACACAGCCCCATTATTAAGCAACACATGACTGTATTTAAGACCCCTCCTATGCAGTGCAACTCGGGGTGGCTTAGAACAGAGAACTCCGGCGCTGCATACAGAGGAGCAATTCTGGGGACACCAGACAACAGGCATTGCACTAGATGACGACAACTCTGGGTATATAAATGGTCAATGAGAAATTTACTTAAAGTCTGAACGTTAAGCCATAGTAGACAGGGAAACTAAGAATTCCTCAAAGTTAATATTTCCAACCTTGATCTAAGGGAGAGTCTATTCTGAGTGTTATAATGAATGACCCCCAGATTCCCTGGAGAAACAGCAATGGTTTGTTTCTCACCACCATCGAAGTCCAGTGTGGCTGTACGGGGAGAGTGAGGAAGGCTCTGCTCCAGGCAGTCACGGCATGGCCTGGAGGCCTGGCACTCCCCTGGCCAGGGCTCAGTCAATGGCTCCTAGGGACCAGGAGGCTGGGAAGTGAGCCTTCCTCTGTGCTCAGGAGAAGTAGGATTTGGGGGAACACATTTGTAGGGCAGTATCGCTGCTCTGTCAACATAAATTGGCTCAGAACTTAAGTGGAAAGGGACGCCGAAGAGGGCAAAAAATATATGCAAACCAGGACAGTGAAAGGAACAAAGGTCTGAACAGGACCAGATAGAGACATTTGCCTATAGACAAGTCTTTGGTAAAAAGGATGTGGAAATTGATTCCAGAACTCCACTCTATATTATTTATGGCTTGTGGGACATAGGAATGTGTTCAGGTTGACTGTGTAATAAACTGAACATAATTCTCATCTTGTAGCTGGAGTCAAACACTCTCCATTGGTCTTTTTTGCTGTCTTTATGAAGCCATGGGTTCAAGAACTCTCCTGGGTGCTTCCAACATGAGGTGTCTGGGCTGGGAGAGTCTTCCTATCAACTGAGGTTAAGATTCTTGGTCCAGGAGTACAGGGCCACCCTGGCCGGGTTTATTCCGATCTGGTGGGCTACATCTTTCGCTTACATACTAGGAGAACTAGTGAGTGAGCAAGTGTTGATGTCAGGGTCCCTGACAGGGCTTTTTTGAAGCCACACACCATGACAAATCTCAGGGATGTTAAAAAACAAACAATCATAACCAAGGCAGCCGAGCTATTTCAAAAAGAGATGGAGCTTCATTACTTCAAGCCCAAATTCCTGAGAGCCTGGCAACTACCCTATGTCAAAATAAACATCCATCTGCCAGCCCTCATGTTTAAAAACACAAGTTCTATTCTCTGAAACATAAGCCTTCTCTAACCTGAGCAATGTAAATGTCTTTGAGGGCGGGTTGATGAGGGTATGCCTGTGTGAGCATGTGGCAAAGCTGTTACATGGATTTGTGTTGCCCTGTGTGTGTGTCAATGTGTGTGTTTGTCTGTGTGTGTGAGATCCAGAGCAGAAAGAGGAAGGCAACTCAAGTGGATTCATGCTTTACATAACATTTGATGGATCTCTGTAGTTAATTGGCTGTAGAGAAACGGGGAACCTGCGAGTAACTGACATTAGGACTGTTGAAAGGCTCCCAGAAGACCCAACCCTGGCTGGCTCTGTAATCACAAGCACCTGCAAAGCTCTGCCTTGCCGAGAGAGCAGAGCACACCTGCCAGCCGACATCTGCCTGGAGGAAGAAAAGACAGGGCTTCACCCCTGAGCACATGAGCACCGGCCCTTCTTCCGTGCTCGGCTGTCATGCTCAGTTGCACCGCGCGTGGATCTGCCTGTCAGCCTGTGCTGAACCCTGCGGCACTGTGCCAGGGCTTACTATCTGCACTCTGTTTGCAAAAACCTGTTGCCGCTACCTGTGTGCACTGGTTTCTATAACAACAGACCCGGTCCCCAGAGTTTCATCTCACCTGCCAGTGTGGTGCATGAGGCCACCCGCCAGTCCATGCTGATGTAGCCCAGCCCTCAGCCTGACTCCTCCAGCCCTGCTCCACCTGCACCTATTCCCACCCAGACCCCAGTTCTGATCATCAGCATCTCCCAAGAGTGGGAAGGGGAAAACGGAGACTTAGTAAATATGTAAACAAAAGCACAGCTTTCGCAAGCCGTTCTAATCTTGGCATAGTTTGCATTTCCTTCACTGTGGCTTCATCTAGGTACTTTTAAGCGTGCAGCAAGGAGAGACAGCTGTCAATTAGCTTACCATGATATTTTCTCAATCATCTTTTGGAAGTGAAGTCAAATTCAAGATGTTTTAAAATCTGGAAGCAGAAGCATGCTGCATTTATGGAGATGATATCTTTTTGTGGGTTTTTCTGTCTTTCGTGTGTAGGATCTTTCTGAGAGACCAAATCAGGGGAAGAGAATAGGTGAGGTGTTGCTCTGTGGGTTTGCTGCAATCTGGAAGGAATAAGGTTGCACAGTAGCGATAGGAAAGTCTTAAGGACTGTGATCTTTTGTATTGCAACTGGATTCACATTTGCAGTCATCCTTTTGACCAGAAGAGCCACGTGAATAATGTGTGCTCTGAAGGAGAAAACAGAACTGCCCATTCGAATGGGGAAGCGGAGGCTAGTGCACTGCAGGCTGCATGAGCGATCGCCCCCGGCAGTTGTGGGCCCGGAGGGGTTGGGGGGGGGGACATCAGTGCTCTGGGTAGACGCTGGGCTAGTTCTTTCTATACCAGTTGTAGTTGCTAAGAGCAGGTGACCTCACAAGCTGTTTTAGCAACTCTTACTGCTGGGAATCATTCTCTGGGGAACCTCAGAAGCTGGCAAAATAAATCTTTGTACTCACTCTGCTTATATTCTGACAACACTGGCGAAAATCCTCTGCTTTGAAAAAGAAAATTATTTTCCCAAGCAAACGCAACTGATGGAATAGACTCCCCGCATGTGGCTTTGAAGGTGTTAAAGTAATAATCATAATTGCTTTCGTTTTGATAAGCTTTGCAGGTTCCAGAGCTCTCTCACGAGTTCCATTTCACTTGGTATTTGCAGTTACCATGTGAGGTAAGCAGAGCCGACCTTGCCTGGCTTCCCTATCAGCAGCTCAGTGGGATTAAATGGCTTGCCAATGTCACAAGGTGAGTAGTTGACACAAATTGCAATGCAAATATTCTGATAAATAAGTTACCAGGCATTCTGTTCTATCATTCCTCCAAACTTAAAAAAATAATCCTCTGAATTAAAAAAAAAAATGTAATGGCCACTTATGCACAAGCCCCTGGAAAATTCACAGGCTGATGAAAGGGATCTATTTTGGTGATTCAAGGGAATATTGAGCTGCTGGTTTTGAGCAAAAGCAGCTGATGCAAATAAGCATGATATATTCATATATTCATCCATTTGAAAGAAATCTGATGGCAGGAATTTTTCTCCCAACAAAACAGATTCCAGGATGTGGCAGCATCTGTATGAATGCATGTCATTCTCTGCAACCTCCATGCCTGGAGAGGGACCACAGATTCCTTGAGCATGAAGACTGGGCAGAATCTTGGAGATAATTTTATTCAACCTCATGCTACCTGGGAGGAAAGCAGGTTCCCAGAGCAGTGCCTCGGCCAGGTCACACTGTTAATAGGTGTCAGAAGTAGGACAAGACCCCAGACCCTCAGATATCACACCGAGTTCAGAGTGACACCCCTGAGTCCCTGGGAGATTCCAAGTTCCTAAAGCACCACTAGATTATCCTCAGTGCAGTATTTAAGCAGATGAGTGTGGTAAGGTCTTTTGGCAGGATTTAGAGCAACAAAGGCTGAAATCAAAGGCCTTTGACTAGCTTAGGGTTGTTCTGACAGTGTGTCTCTCCAGAGCGTGGGCTCAGTGAAATCAACGTCACCCCAGCTTTGCCCTAGAGCCTCAGCAGTGGGGTGTGAAGCCAGAGTTGGCTGGTGCTCGTTATGGCGTGACGGTGGGGATGGGGTTTGGCTCTGTGCTCCCTGTGCTTTCTCCATGGCGTAGTTTATCAGCCAGAGCACAGGGAGAGTCCCAGAAAACCCGACCAAAACAATCCTAACCCATGTCGCAACGGGCTACGGTATTTATACAGGAGCTGTCTCAGAAGGCTTTCCAAATAGTCCATTGAAAGGTTGAGGTTTTTGTGGGGTTTTTGTTTGTTTGTTTTGTTTTTTACAAACCTCAGTCCAAGACCAAACCACTTATAGTTATGTCCGCAGCTTTGCCCAAGGTGTCCGTGAGCTGTCGTCAGTAGCCTTCTCAAAGAACGTACAGGCTTGGGATTTTCACTGTGCCTTTGAAGGAATGGCCTGGAAGCAGGGTCAGTAAGAAACTTTCTCTTATATCTCTGCACCAGGAACTTAATCGGACAACATTGTGTTGGGGGGTGCTCCCATGGTGTGGCAGGTACTGTGGGGTTCTCTCTGACCCCTCTCAGGACAGAACCACATACCCTCCCACATGCCAGGAGTGTGGCCCATAGCTGAGTCCCTCCCCAGGGGCTGTCTTTGGTCAGAGGTTGCTGCCTCATGCAAGATTACAGCCCCTTCCCTGGGAACAGCCTGCATCTGAAGACTGGTCCATGGAGGGGTCCAAAGCGTGGGTCCCCTTTGCTCAATTTGGGGCATTTCTGAAGGGTTCCCCCACCCCCAGCTCCAGAGCTTCCTGGGGGATTGGCTGAGGTGTCTGTGCTACTATGTCGGAGTGAGACCCTGCCCAGTTCCCCAGTAAACTGCCTGCACGCAAATCTTTGTCCCAGAATCCTTTTCCTGGGGAACTTGACCTATCTCTCTCTCTCACACACACACACACACACACTCTCTCTCTCTCTTTTCTCTTCTTTGAGGTCAGAATCTTTTGTTTTTTTAAGGCAAGCATGAAAATGAGGTTTATTGAGGAAAGGTAAGGATTATAGAGCAAGAGCAAGATATATTATGAAAATTATGATATATACTGCCATAGATGACGACCGGACCCATTGTCACAACAAAGGAAGAGAAAAAGGAAAGGCATAAAGAAAAGCTGAGGTCAGAATCCTGATTCTTGTCATCTGATGGAGACAGCTCCATCAACCACTCCATATCAAATGCCTGGAAGTCTCCCTTTTATCAAAACAGCCAAAAAAAATCTGTACTCATTCGGCTGCTGGAATGGCTGCTGGAACAAATCACAACAAACTTGGTGGCTTAAAATCACACATGTATGACTTTATAGTTCTGGAGGTCAGAAGTCCAAAATCTTCTGGCCAGAAGTCACCAGGGCTGGGCTCCTTTGTAAACTCTAGGGGAGAATCCACTTCCTTGCCTTCTCCAGCTTCTACAGCCTTTCCTTGGCTCAGGCCCCCTGCCCCCACTGCCAAAGCCAGTGCTGTGACATCACATTGCCTTCTTCTTCTGCGTCAAATCTCCCTTTGCATCCTCTTAAAAGGATGTTTGTGAATGCATTTAGGGCCCACGGGGATAATCCCCACCTCAAGAAGCTTAATTTAATCTCCCCCGCCAAGTCTCTTTTGCCGTATAAGGTAACATTCGCAGGTTCTAGAGATTAGGACGTTCATACCCTTGCAGGCTATTGTTTAGCCTACCATGGGATCATATAGCAAGTTCTGAGAAGTACATTCTGATTTCCATCTGTAGTTCATCATCACCCAAAAGCGAGATGGTCTCCGGATCTTCTTTTTGTCATCCACTTGCTATTGTCCCAAATAGCCTGATTTCAGCTGTGATAACTACTTCTTAATTCAAGCCTTTATTAGGAATTAACTGTGGTTGTTACATTTTACCTGACACTGCTAGAACTCTCCCTCTCTCTCTAGCTAGGCATGGTGGCACAGGCCTGTAGTCCCAGCTAGTCAGGAGGCTGAGGCAGGAGGATCACTGGAGCCCAGGGGTTGGAGGTATGATGAAACCACTGCACTCTACCCAGGGCGAGAGAGTGAAACTGTTTTGAAAACAAAACAAAACAAAACAACACAAAACAACTCTCTTTCTCTCTCCCCTTCTACCCCTCTCCCCACCAAATTCTATGTCTGCACTCATCTTGGTGACTCTATTGCCTATGCTGGAATAACATTCTCAGCACACTATGGCAGTGGGTGGTGGCGTGGGGTGGGGGGAGGTGAATAGAGTAGTGGTTTAAGCCTAATGGGCAGATCCTGTGTCACTTCCATAAATCATTCTCTGCCAATAGCAACTTGGGATGATAACACATGACCTTTCGGATTGGAATTTGAGTGGCTGACTTTCACACACTCGTTGACCAGAAATAAGGTTGATATCAAATTCTGTTCATGCCAAGAAATGCTCTATAATCTCATTTCTACCCTGCCCCCAATTCTTGCAGCATGCTGTTTCTACCTCCTTTATGGACTATATAGCTTGATCCACATAGTTGTCTGCTCCACTAGAATGTGAGCTCCTTTCTTCCTCTTTCTACCCCCATATGGCAACTACCAGGGGCCACCTGAGATAACTTGGCCTCTGCAGAAGAATCCTGCTGCCTGCAGTCTGTGAGCTGGCCTAGAGTCCCAGTGGCCCTGGCTGTGCCACATACCCACAAGGACAGGCACCAACACCCAGTGACATTTTGACAGTCACAGGGAACCTGTGACTGCTATCCATAGATATGATAGCCAAGGTTGTTACCCTGGGGAAAGCCCTTCACCTGCGTCTTTCCTTGTTGCATTTATTTTTAGCCCAAATGAAAAACTGCAGCTGTTTTTCTCAGTGGCAGGAATCAAACAATAGGCAAAAAGAATAAGAAATAATCATGATCTTTCTCCCCATTAGGACATACACACCTTGCATTTGGGACCACGTCTCTCTGACAACTAGAGCTCCCATGCTGGGCTCGTGGGATATGCACAAATGTTTATTGTACTGCAGAAGAGTCAAAGGAAGAAGACTTGAATTCTGGCCCTAAGCTTTTTAAAAAATGTTTCTCCATTTTTAAATTAAGAAATATTTCAAACATATAGAAAAGTGCAGAAGATAAAATAGACAACCATATGCCTAACATCCAGATTAAACAGCTGTTCGTATTTTTCCCATATTGACTTCAGATCACTTATACCAAAGGAAAGACCAAAAGATATAGCTAAAGCCACCACCTGCTTCACTCACATTCCTCTCCTTCCCCTGCAGAGGAACTTCTGCCTGTAGTTGGTGTTCTGTTATTCCCATGCATGACCTTGCATTTTCTTTAAATATTTGTCTTTACAAAACATTTGCTATTGTTTTGTGTGCATTCAGAATCTACATAAATGGCATCCTGTATATATTCTCTTGCAATGTGCTTTTCTTACTCAGCAGTATATTTTAGAGACTTATTCATGTTGTGTGGGTACAATGTAGACCTACTTCAGTCATTTTAAGTTAATTTAAATACCACTGTTTATTTATCCATTTCCCTATTGGGGGAAAATTAGTTATTTGTTCTTTATTTGCTTTACTGTTGTTTGTTGCAATGAACATGCTTGTGCACGCATCTGTGTGCATACCTATGTAATTTCTTAGTGAAACACCTTGAAGTGAAATTGCTAATTAGTAGGAAATACACTTCTTCACCTTCTTCAGTATTGACAGATTGTTCTCTCAAGTGTTTGCACCTATTTGAACTCTCATTAGATTAGAAATTCCTGTTTTCCCACGTTCTTACGATCACTTGTCAGACTTTCTAATTTTTCCAATCTGATAGGTGCAAATGGCATTTTATTGTTTTGATTTACATTTCCCTAATTACTCATGAGCTTAAGCATTTTTACATGTTTACTAGCCAGTTTTGTTTGTGTGTAGGAGGTGTGAGTATGCGTGTCTGAGAGACAGAAAGAGACCAGTTCTAAACTTTTGTACTTCTATACGTTTATCATTGTATTTATTCTGAAGTTCTTATTTGAGTTGCAAACGTCTTCTCACAAACTATATCTTGCTTTTTTATTTTGTTTCTGTTACTTTCTATTATAAATAACTTTTTAATTGTCACGTAGTCAAATTCATATGTCTGTTCAAGGTTTGTGGGTATTTGTCCTTTGGTTAATAAATCTGTTCCTAACTCTGCAGTCAAGATACTCTCCCACATTGTTTTCTAAAAATTCTAAATTTTTGCTCTTCATATTTAAATCTTTGTCCATCTGGAATTTACTTTTGCTTGTATGATGAGTAAGGATCTAATTTTATCTTTTTCTAAGCAAAAAGTTAATTGTTAAGGATAATCCAGACTTTCCCAGTGTTTGAAATGCCATTTCTGTTAAATACAAATTCTCATATGTAAGTGGTAGGTTTCTAGACTCTATACCATTCTGTTGTTGGTTCGTTTGTCTGTACCTACACCCATACTAGAATTTTAACATTATTATAGCTAAATAGCAGTATTAATAGCTAGTGCATTGATTTACCCCTATTTTTTTTTACCCAAAAAACATGTCTATGATTTTTGTCTTTCCTTAGTCCTTTTCTTACCAGTATTTTAGGATCAGCTAGTGAATTCCTATGAAAAATGTTATCAGACTTGATATAGGATATGCATCTAAAAAGATAAATTTGGGGAAATTTTGTCCTTTGTACAATACTGAGTCTTTCCAACCATAAAATCTAGTTAGGCCTTCTTTTTATATTTATGTTATTTAATATGGATTTGTAATTTTTTCTGTAAAGATTTTGGACATTTTATTAGCCATATTATGACGTATTTACAGTGCTTGCTACAAATGTAAATAGTATCTTTTTTTTTTACAGTTCCTAATAATTTACTGTAGGAGTTCCAGGAACTATTTTAAAAAATCAGTTTTAAATTAGGCAACCTGTTGAATGTCCTTCTTTCTTCTAATAGTTGACTATTACTTCTTTTGAATTTTTAAAATAGATAGTAATAGCATCCATAAATAATGATACTTTCATTTCTTGCTCTTGAATCTTTATTTTATTTCTTCTTGTTATCACTTCACTGAATAGGACTTACAGAGCAATGTTAAATAAAGGCTTTTGATGGTAGGCATCCTTGCCTTGTTCTTGAACTTAAGTGGAATTATTTTAGGGATTCACAAAGTATGACTTTCACTGTAGATTTATAGTAGATATTTTTATTGAGTTATTCTTTTTATTTCTAGCATGCTAAGAGATTTTGGTTATTAATGGGCATTGAATTTTATCATATCATTTTCTTTATCTTTTTGGGAGATCATATATTTTTCTTCTTTATAATGCATGTGTAGTAAATTATTCAATAGCTTTTCTATTGTTAAACTTCTATTTCTTGAGTAACCCAACTTGGTCATGATGTGTTTTTAAACACTACTATATTCGGTTTGCTAATATTTGATTTCAAAATATTATGCATGTTCATAAATGAAATTAGCCTATTCTTTTCCTCTTTTGTATTGTCTTTTCCAGTTTTTGTTGTCAATGTTATACTAGTATAATGAGTTGAAAAGTTTTCCCTCATTTTCTTTTTTCTGGAGCAGAGTGTACAAAATAGAAATTAAATTTTTCTTGAAAATTGGGGAAAATTTACCTGTAAAACTATCTGAGGTATAGATTTTTAATTATTGATTTTTGATTATTTATTAAATGTTTAAAGACCATGTGTTTATTTAGCTTTTCTACATTTTTTTAGTTACTTTTATAGAAATGTTTTTATTTTATCTAAAATTTCAATGTTATTGGCATAAAGTCATATATAGTAGTCTCATGACTTTGTGAATGTGTATTATATAATAAAATATAATACACATTATATAATATTATATAAATATAATACACATTATGTAATATGTGTATTATATAATAAAATATAATACACATTCACAAAGTCATGAGACTACTATATTTACATATTTTTCTTTCCCAATATGATTCATTTGTTCTATCTTTATTTTTCTCCTAAATAAATAAATCTATCTTTATTTTTACTTTTGTTGGTCATCTCAGTGGCTTGTTTTCTATTTCACTAATTTTTGTTCATAGCTATATCTTCTTTCCTTTGTATTTTCTTGCATTTACACTCATTTTTTTTTCTAATTTCCTAGATTAGATGTGTTCATTAATTTTCAAACTTTCTTCTTTTCAGGTGTATGTCTATATATGTGTGTATGTCTATAATTTTCCCTCTGAACTATTGCTTTAGCTGAAACTCATGATTTTGATATTCGGTTTTCCCTTGTCATTGAGGTCTAGATATTTTAAAATTTCTATTATGATTGCCACTTTGACTCATTAATTATTTAGAAGTGTTTTTAAATTTCCAAATGTGTTTTCTTCTTTTTTTAGTTTCATTTTTATAATTTATTTTCAGTTTAATTTATTTTCACTTTCATTTTGAAAGGGAATGTGGTCTGCATAATTGATTCATTTGCTTATTTTAGATATTTTTTGTGGCTAAGAATGTGGTCATTCAAAAAAGCTCAATGTGTATTCTCTAATTGTTAGGCACAGGAAATATTATGTTTAAGTTATTAAATGTGTTGTTTTAATCTTTTATGTGTTTACTAATTATTTTGTTTGCTTAAGCTATTTAGTATTGAGCATTGTGTTAAACTATCTTATCGTGGTTGTGGATTTCTTAATTTTTGTGTATGTCTGTGTGATTCTGGTCATTTGTGGTTCACATATTTTGAGACTACATTCTTAAAAATCTACATTTTCAGAAGTTTTAGATCCTGTGGAGCAGGTCCTAGCCTACCCATGCGATAATACCTCCTTTGCCTTTACCTGTTCTTCCTCTTGGAACCAAATCAGGCCCAGCGGACCCTGACACCATTGCCTGTACCCCATTACCACGGCCCTTGGAGTAGGTTTTACAGCCCACCTTCCAGAAGTAGATTTTGCAAACTTTGCCACACGATGCTCTTCGTGTTTCCACCTGTGCACCTCCTTGCTCAATGTCCGGTGCTGTCAGGGAGCATTTCAACTTATTTCGTGATTCAACTTTTGGCCATCGCCCAGTTTTGCTAAAATTGGAGATTGAATTCTATTTTGCATTCTTCTGGTTGTTTTTGGATGCTTTCCTAGAAGTACTGACTTTTGCTACCATCTTCACACTGGAATTTTGACATCATGATTTTTGACATAATCAATAACTTTGCCCTCTTTCTGAACATTACCTTAGCATGTATTTATAAATATGCTCTTTTTTTTTCTAGAGAAGGTAGTATTGGAATTAATTCTTGAAGGAGAAATTGGTCTTTATCCTTTGCTAGGGAGAAGGAGATAGCTTCACAGCCCCCTCCCCTCTTTCCCTGGAGCAACGTGGGAGAGTGAGAGGTTGGCACTGAGGATTATGTACGACCAGCACACTCAGGAAACCTGTCCATCTGGAAATAAAGGTTTCAGTCAATGCAGTGAACGTAACAAGAGACAGAACCAATGAGGCCAGATTGAAGGAGTCGATCTAAGCTGAATACAAGGAAGAAGAGTTATCTTGGGATGGAAATCAGCTGTCCCACAAGTAAGTACATGCCTGGGGGAAACTGAGGCAGAAGCCACAGAGGGTCCTTCACTGGGAAGCCAAGTTAGACCAATTCTTGTCTTCTTGTGAAGTCCAGCCTGCCAGGTACACAGGGAGAAGCCTTTGGTAAGGAACAGGTGTAAGAGTTATGCACTAAATGACACCCTCACTTGGGGAGAAACAAAGCCCCAAATACAGGAAGAGTAGTTCTTTTCTAAAACCCGAGCCAACGGCACAGGAGAGAACAAAGGAGGCAGGGGAGAAGATACTTACTCTAATGAGCGGAGCTTTGCAGCCATGTTTTCTCGGAGCCACTAAGTCAGGCCCAATAATGCATAGGGTCAAGAGTATGAGAATTTTGGCCCAAGATGAATAAACCTGGCCTCAACAGCTGCCACCCACTCTGGAAATCTGTATGTTCAAAGAATGTGAGCACTTGAGACTATTTCTACTTCCAGCTGCTCCGCGGTATTAATAAAGGTCTAATTGCTAACACCACGTGGAGTGGACATGGTGTTCATTTTCCTGACACATGGAAAATGTGGTTTGGAGGCTGAGCTGTCAGGCCCAAATCGCCTCCAGACCCTGCCTATTGCAAGCACATTTCATCACCGGGCAGGACTTGCTAAGTTTGGTGGATGGCCTCATTTTGGCTATTTGTATCCTGACACTGGAGCCAACATGACAGGTTAGAATTCCCATCAAAGGAATGTGACACCAGGCTTCCTTTCACCCCATTTCCAGGTAATGTGGCATGGAGAAAGCCCATCAACTTGTCACACCTGAAGATGAAGGAGCAGTTTGTACAGCCTTTGGCTTGGGTATGTAAAGCGCCCTGCAATTCCGACCAGATAACTTAATATAGAGGATGCCCCTTATAACTTGGAGACTCTCTCTGCAGACAATTTGGGTCCCTTTGCAAATAGAGGTGGGCAAGGGTGATGGGGCCGCAGCCACCTGCCTGTGCAGGGAGAGAGGCTCAATGTTGGTGGGGGCAGTTCCTTCTTATTGCTTCGCCCCATCCCACCCACAAATAGTGGTTGCTATCTTCCTCCAAATCTAAATGTATTTTGCTACCTTATTGCCTTATGGTACTGCAATATATATTCACCAAAGCTAGTCATAAGTTGTTCCATGCTACAAATACCAAAATCCACACATTTATGTTTTAATACATATCTCCAATTTTTTATGGGGAATCTCTTTCTCTAAATTTACTCACTTTAAATTTATTTTTCTAGCTTGTAAAAGGAGTTCCCAACTAGGGCTTTATTCCTTATTGGGTTTTCCACCCAGGCCCTGGGCTTTAATGCATTAAACCCCATCTGGGTTCCATGGAAATATGTTTTGCTGACTTATGGGCCTGCCCCCAGGGACACATAAATCCCCGAGTTTCAAGAAGCCCTGGGCATTGACAAGCTGTATGACACAGTGATTAAGAGCCTGAACTCTGCAATCTGACTACCTAGATTTAAATATTAATTTCCCCATTTATATCTCATGTGGCCTTGGGCGAGTGTCTTACACTGTGCCTTGGCTTTCTTAGATGTAAGTCAGGAAAAATAATAGTACTTCTGCATAGGGTAGGTGTGAAAATTAAGTTATCATGTGCAAAATGCTTTGCAATATATGCCAACCATTATTCTTGTCTCCACAGAAAGAACATGGCTAGACCAAGTAAAAGTGGGATCCTAGTAGCAACCTCTTGAACATGAGGGTTCGGCTCAATATCCTCTTCCACTGAAGACTCAACAAACACATGCTGAATTTCCTCAACAGAGCTGAGACGTTTCCAGTGTAAGCAGTATATAATAGGCATGAAACAGAAAAATCAAGGATGGTTTCCTCTACTGGAGAGGTGCATGTTTCATGATGCTGATTAGAAAGTCCAGCCTGAGAGAGGCTCTTTGAAGATTCTTGGCCCACGATAGCCAGAGACAGCTCAAAGGGAGACAGATATCCCTGATTTATAGCGAGCTCAACTACGACCCAGTGCAGAAGAGAGGCCATCCTTCGGTTAAGTGGGCAGTAGGAATTTTGCAGAACATGTTTTGGGGGCTCTGCCATGCCCGGATCTGTGCAGTAGTCAGTAGGGACAGCTAGAGCAGTTTGGGGTGAAGAGTGTGCTTTAAGCCCAAGCTTAGCAGAACAGCTAGCAGAGACAACCGGTGTGGCACGCAGGCCAAGCCCAGCAATTGATGTCAAGCCAGAATGATGAAAGAGGACTCATACGTGGCCACATTCAGATGTGATCTGTACAGAGACATCTGTTCAGAAGAGGCTGTCATGCTCACTGTGGGGTGCTGGGATGAGCCCCCCAGACCCTCCAGCTGGGATGCGAGCAGGACTTAGTCCCCAGTCCTCTGTGGCACTGCCTTGGCTGAGCTGCTTCCTGCAGGGTCTCCTCCCTCTTCAGGACAGCCTAATCCAATGACTGACCAACTTGGGGTACAAAGGTCCAGCCTTCTTGTCCCAACTCAGGACTGTCCTGAAGTCATCCCGTCTTTAGGACTCCCCACAAAAGCAGCTAAGTCTCCGGAGGAGATGGCCTTGAGGCTTGACCTCTCCCTGTGTCCCGTCCTGCTTCCTTTCTGTCCCCTCCACAGCCACAGACCCCAATAGCGCTCCCTAACAGACGCGCTGCATGCTAATCTGCACCTCAGACTCCCCTTCCCTGGGGCACTGGGATTGTCACTAATCAGCCATGGGCTCCTCTGCATCTCCTAGCTGGGATATTGGGGCCTGTGACAGGGCCCTGGCCACTGGGAAGTGGGCAGAGTGAAGTGGCCTTGGGTCACGTGGCCCTGACACTGCACAGAGGAGACTTGCACGGGTGGAAAACACATCTTCCCTGGGTCAAATCTCTGCGATTTGGGATTTGTTTTGCTTTCTGTTTTCTCAACAAAGACTAACTTAATTCGGTTTTGTCGAATGCATCGGCCATATTCATTGAAGGCCTTTTCTAATTCCAGAGTGAAAAGCAATCAGAAGTTACTATTAGTTGTCATGTATGTTTGCTTAAGTTAACTGTAAGGGGAAAATAACATAGTTCATCCCGTATCATAGATGTAGTTATTTTCAATAATATTTCTAGCAAGTCTTTTCGTTGGGCTTATAAATTTTAGTTATTCTAAAGGTAGTATTTCTCATGAGTTCTTTTTTGTGTATTTATAAAGTCTCAAGTTAAATAAACCAGTCAGATATTTTTTTAAATGAATCTGAACAGAGTAGATCCAACTGAGAATTGCAGTCAGTATTCTGATGCCTTGAATAGAAGAGATCCAATAAATATAAATTGAAATAAATATGTACACACACACATTGATTGATGCTTTTAACCAACACTAACTAAGCATCTGGTGTATGTGTCATGTTTCTGACATTTTGTTACATGGTAAGGGTTTCCTAGCCTCAGGGCTGGCCAGTGGGAGAGGTAGATGGCATCCAAGCCAGCCAGCTGCCTCCAGCAGCTCTTCCTGGCCAGTCTCTATTTGGCAAAAGCTGTCACCTTCTAGCTTTGGGAGAGGGGACACAGCCCTCTTGCTACCACTCAATTTCAGGCCTGAATATTCGACCCCTACACCTTAATTTCCCACAGTCCAACAGAGGATGAATAAAACTTCTCAGAAGGTTCAGGGATAATGGAAGGAAAGCTCAGCCTCAAGATTAATTTTAACTTTTGGCAGAGGCAGCTACCTGAAGTGAAGCTGCCAGAGCCATCCTCAGTGTTTCTGGTACCGGGTCAGGCTCCGTGTGAAAGAGTCCAGCACACGTCAGGCACCAGCAAGTTTGGCCTCACTGTCAAATGGCTTGGAGAGAGAAAAGACTTCTCTGTCCCCTCAGTTTCAGCCTGGTCTCCCAGAGAGGCAGAAACTACTACTGCCACCCAATATTCATTCTCCTGATTTCTTAGTCATAGCACCCTGATTTATTTATTTATTTTTATTTTTTTTTTTTGAGACAGAGTCTCGCTTTGTTGTCCAGGCTAGAGTGAGTGCCGTGGCGTCAGCCTAGCTCACAGCAACCTCAAACTCCTGGGCTCCAGTGATCCTTCTGCCTCAGCCTCCCGAGTAGCTGGGACTACAGGCATGCGCCACTATGCCCGGCTAATTTTATATATATATATCAGTTGGCCAATTAATTTCTTTCTATTTATAGTAGAGACGGGGTCTCGCTCTTGCTCAGGCTGGTTTCGAACTCCTGACCTTGAGCAATCCGCCCGCCTCGGCCTCCCAAGAGCTAGGATTACAGGCGTGAGCCACAGCGCCCGGCCGCACCCTGATTTATTTAGCATGGCAAAGTGCCCAGATAAAAGACTATTTCTCAAGACCACAGCCAGCTGTGGAAGTCTTTGGGGACTTCAGAAAGGCTATTTAAAGAGAGAATCATCTGGGAGGTCTCACCCCAAAACACATCCAATCGCACATACTATTATTTTTCCTATTTCATTTTTCCTCCTTCCAGGCTTTGATGTGGATATGATGGCTGGAGCTCCAGCAGCCATCCTGTGACCTTGAGAACAAGCCATTCATTGAGACTAATGAAGCAGAAAGAAGGAATCCTGAGTCCTTGGGAACCAAGGGGTTACCCTAGTAACTCTGAATGCCTACTTCTAGACTGTCTTTTAGAAAGAGATACAAACTCTTATGTATTTAAGCCACTGTTATTTGGGGTTTAACCTAATCCTGATATAACGTCTTTCTTGGGATGGTTGACAGGGGGAATTTCTGCTTCCTTAGAGAGCAATCCCAACCCCCCACCACTAGGGGGTGGCCTTGCCCTGTAGGCCTCAACATGACAATTACATCACTGCATATGAGTCCTACATCAGTACGTTTTGTGTGATTCAGTCTTGAACAACAGTGTGCATGTGACAGCAATGGCCCAGTCTGGGATGAGCTGTGCCAAACTGCATCCAGCTCTTCTAGGAACTGTACCCAGGTCTTCTGTTTTCTACACCCAGTTCTTCAGCTCTTACGTGTAAGCCCCAGAAGCCAAGACAGTATGCAGAGAAGCATTCTGACTCCAGCAAACATGCAACTTGTATTTCCAAACCAACAATGAGCTTCTAGTCTAAAGGTTACTTGATACTTCCTTCTTCCCCTCCCCCCAACAAGAAGCAATGGGTAGGTACTGGTACTTGCTTCACACCTGTGTAAAGATACCCACCTGGTGGTTCTAATGAAGAGAGAGTCTACCCTGGCAGGATTATCGAACTCTCCACTTCCTACAAGGTGGAAAATCACTTGCAGCATTTAAGTGATGATTTTTGCAGTTCACACTGACCACAGTTTCAAATATCTTTGGGCAGAGAGTTTCAGTCATTAATAATCTGAGGTGAGGGGAATAGTTGATCTAATTCTTGCTCAGGCTAAAAGCATATCACTTTCTCAAAATGAAAGTACAGTACTAGTTCTATAAAAACTCACAACTAACCAACAAAGGAGTTGTGGTCTGAAAGGGGGTTGTAAAACAATCCTCTTCTGATAGTTTCAGATCGTATCACTTTGGTATCATCCGAGCTCTCCTCTTCTGTCTGGAGTTTACGTGCCAACACCGTCCAGTTAATACTTGGCGGCGAGGGGCATCGTGGAGAACTAATAATCCTGTGTTTTTACCCTCAATTTTGTTACTAGACTGCCATATTAGATAAGAACAAAAAAATGTGTGACCGGCCAAAGAGCTTGAGAAACAGTCAATTCTTTTCTCACATCTCCTTAAAGACCATGCAGAAGATTTTCATATGTAACAAACCCAGTGATCACTGGGCAATCTCAAAGCAGGAGAAAGGACCAAAGCCAATTACGCACAAGAATAGAAACAGGTGTCCCTTGGGAGTATGGTTTAGCAAATAAAAATACAGGACGCCCTGTAATTTGAATTTTTTGCAATATTTGGGACACATTTATACTAAAAAAATTCTTCGATGTTTATTTGAAATTCAAATTTAATGGAGTGTCCTGGATTTTATCTGGCAACCCTAATTGGGGGTAAAGAATCTGTTCCTCGTGGAGGGTGGGAAGAGCAGCAAAAGAAAATGAGCAGATTCTGGAATCTGTCAAGGGGACTGCCCCTGGGAAAGTCACTGATTAAAAACAAAACAGCCACAAACCACCAAGCCTTGTGCACAGGTCTCTCGGAGTAGCTAATCCCTTCTGTTATTTACCTTTGCCGAGTCCCAGGTGCCCGCCCAGTCTGGGTATTGGAGAACTCGGTTAGGGATGCTGACCAACTAGATAGTCATGGCCAGTGGCATCTCCTCAGGCCCCCTGTCTCCAGGATCGTGTGTCCTGTAGATTCAGACACGCATCTGCACTGGCCTGGAATGCCAGTGTGAGTCCTCTCCTTAGAGCGAGAGGCAACAGCAACGCAGTCAGTTGATGCCCTGATGTCTGGGTCCCCTGTTGTCTTTCAGAGGGCATTTTGTCCAAACTGCGGGGTAGGAAAAAGGTTTGGTTTTACACCTTTAGCCAGAGTTTGCCCTCTCTGGAATGCTTCTTCTACCAGGTCTGCCGGAGATCTATTTTCCAAAGGGGATGCTTCGTCAGAGTCCCTCACAGAATCCCCTGGATACAGAGATGTACAGATCTTCTCCTCTGAACCCAGGGAAGGTATAGGTGGGCAATGCTCCCTTTTCTGCCCTTTCACCCTTTGCATGAGGCTTTGCAGACATAAACACGTGGGCACACAGAACAGAGAGTCAAGGTCAGCAGAGGATTTTTTTTTTCCTTCTGATTGAAGGGGAGAGACCGAATAAAACTCTGGAAACAAAGGGTCAGAGGCTCCAAAGGCAAACAGCTCCATGAGCCAGGCAGGTGACATAAATAAATGAAGCAGGCTTGGTTTAAGGACATGGAAGTGCGTGGTTTATGGAAGGGGCAGATACCCACAAGTTCCAGCCAACTGTTGCCATGTGGACGTGCAGCATTGCCAGATCTTATGATTTTTCAAGAGAAGCCAGAAATCTAGATATTTCTGTAAAATCACCCACTGTCTTTAATGTGGGCAACAAATTCAAATTCTTTCTAAACACCATGCTGGCCAAATAAAACATGGGTGGCTACATTTGGGCCTTGGGTGGCCAATTTGTAAACTCGGGTCTAGAGGGAATGGGAGGTTGTTCTTTGAATAAATCCCACCAGCCATGGCAGATGTACAGGCTGCTTCTGCTAGAATGTAAACAAGTCATGGGAGCATACCATTCCAAAAAAGAAAAAAAAAATCCTATTAAATCCACTGGCTAAGTTTGAAAAGATAGTAGAGAATGTACCGATATGTAAGTTTAGTCTTGTTTTTGGTGGGAAAAATTTTATAAAGCTGAACAAGAAGGAAGGATACTGATCTTCTCTGAAGTAGTCTCTGATTTATATCTTTAAAAAGTCAGGATGGAGGAGAATGACACTTTGGAAAAGATCCTGGCCTAGCCTCTCTTTCAGGAACTAGCACTGGCAATTAAAGTCAATCATTTCAACATGCATCATAGACAGTATATAAAGAGTTCTCGCAAATTAATAAGACAGTACCCCAATGGCACATGCACAACTCACAGAAAATAAAATATTTTAGGTTTTTAACCTACACAAATGCTTGACTTCATTTGTCATCTGAGAAATCCAAATTATAACAATGTTTTTAACTTATATCAGAAAAGGTTAAAAAGAAATTTAGATTATACACTGTATCAGCTAAGATGTTGGAAAACTGGCAGTATCATACACTGGTGGTAAAATTTTAAATTGGCATTACTACTAAGGAGGGTAAATTGGCAGACTCCATTAAAATTGAAAATATGTACACTCCTCAACCCAGAAATTTCTAAATCTAAGAATTAATTACACACCCTTATTCACACATTTGTGGAAAGACATATCTATAGGAATATTCATTATAGTATCATTTATAATAGCAAATTATTTGAAATAAACTTAATGTTCATTGATATGAAAATAAAATAATGATAATGCACCCAAGCAATAGAGTACACTGACGCCATTAACAAGAAGAGGCTCTATACGTACTGAAACGGTCAGTTCTCCAATATATATTAACTGAAAGAGCAAGATTAAGAGGTGAAAATTGTATAACATTTGGGATTGTATACACATATACTTAGTTTGCGTACTATATCTCTAGAAGATC